TCTCCTTTCCAGGTCCTTTCTAAGCTTCATCTCCTTCTTTCACCTTCATCTCTACTTTCCATGATTATCTCATTCCCTGCCAAAACAAGGGAAATTAGTCATAAAAACCATCAAATTCAATCTCAACTTCTCCCTCTATTTCACCACACACTTAACAGAAAAACATGATTTCACAAGCAAGTTTCTAAGCAGAAAAGGGTGCATTTAGTGTCAAAATTACATCACAAATAATGGTATTTTCAACCGTTATCAGGTTTCTCTAGACGATCTTGTCTTAACATCTTCATATCCTTTAAGTTCTAATCTTCTTGGAGCGTTATAAGTCTCGAGGAGAATTATTCTTCCAAGTGTTTACTTTTTAATTTTTTTTATATGTTCTTTTAATTGTAATAACTCTTCTTCAAGTTTTTTTTCCTATAAGATCAAAATACTCATGAAACGGGAAAACCCTATGGGATAAACAAACACTAGACTAAAATAGGATACCTATCCTATCTTACTTAATTATCAAATGAACACTTTTCTTTTCAATTTTAACTTACTAATCTATTTGATTTTTTATTTGAAACTAATAATTGTAATTTACTTTAGACCCTAATTATAAAAATATGAAAAAAAATATTTTTATGTTTTTATTATTTCTCATATATACATTAAAATATTATAAAACACACAAAAATATGATATCCTATGAAATTAATATACAATAAACTTATGTTTTTGTTAATATAATTTTATTCAACTTATTTCCTATTTGAACAAATTCTTTTACCACTAAGTTATAGAATTCAATACAACCATTTCCAAAGATATTTTAGTTAATAAAAATTAAACTAAAATATAATAATATTTTAAATTTACATTAATATATATATATATATATATATATATATATATATATATATATTATTTTTTAATATATTTAACAGTATTATAAAATAAATTTTTTCCAATTAAATGAAATTTCATTTTTTTTTTCACGTGAGATCTTCATTTTTTTTATTCTAGAAAATTTTTTGGAAGGTAATATATTTATTGTGAAAATTTTATTCGAAAAGTCTTGTTGTGAAAATTTTGTTACAGAATTTTATATATTTTGAAAATATTAATCTGAAAATATTATTCTAGAAAATATGTTCAAGAAATCCTACTTTAAAAATATAGTTTGTAAATTGTGAAAAACTTATTTCGAAAGGTAATTAGTTAGTCACTTTTTTTCAGAAGAGTGAAATTGTTATTTTGAAAATATAGGAGTGCGCGAAGAAATTGTGAGATCCAGGAATAAAAAGCCTACTTCTTTCTCAACACTTTTCGGCCCACTAGTTCTCCAAATACTAGCAACAAAATAAGAGCCCAGTTACGAACAGAAAAAAAACACGAAGGAGCTTCTTCCTTGTATATAACGATCACATCGTTAATATAGTGCCTCCGACTTTAGGGTTTCGGAAAAGCTGCGCGTCGATCTACGAAATGGGTAAGTCAAAGAAATTCGTTGTAACAAGGATTCAGATTCGTGCCATTTTTTTCATGTCTGTTCTGAGTTAATTCTTTTCCGCCATTGAAGCGAGGATAAGGTGTACGAGCTGAGGAACAAGACGAAGGCGGAGCTGCTAAACCAGTTGAAGGATCTGAAGGCGGAGCTCGCTTTGCTTCGAGTGGCTAAGGTCACCGGCGGCGCCCCTAACAAGCTCTCGAAAATGTACTATTCGAACTCGTTCTGAGTGTTTGTTGTGATTGTTTTGTTGTTGGAATCGCGTTTTGTAAACTGCATTTTGTGTTCGTTTTGTAGCAAGGTAGTGAGGCTTTCGATAGCGCAGGTGTTGACGGTTATTTCTCAAAAGCAGAAGGCAGCGCTCAGAGAGGCTTACAAGACAAAGAAGCTTTTGCCCCTTGACCTCCGTCCCAAGAAGACCCGCGCCATTCGCAGACGCCTTACCAAACACCAGGTTTCACTCGTTTTATTTTTTTCAAGTCTTTATTTAATTTTGTTCGTCGTTTTTCTTCTAGAATTTGAAATTTTAGATTTTATTTCGTCTCGATAAATTAAATTGTGATCTTGGTACAACATGTGCATCATACTCCAACTTGACCTTTACTCTTGAGTTTGAGTTATGGTGCATCTGCATTGAATATACTCAATAATTGGTTCCAGTAGTATTGTGATATCATATCTTTAATTTAAACTGTAATTGCGCTACCAAACATGGATAGACTGTTCATGTTGTTTTCAGTCTCATGTTTTGGACTCAGACCGTATTTTGTGGTCTCATATAAAGTAGTTAACGGATTTTTGAGGTCTCGTTAAATGATGAATTTTAATAGAAGTTATTTTATAGTTTTTATGTTGTGGATATGCATCCATTTCTAAACGAGGGTTTGGTTTTATCAAATTATCTTTGTCTTACCACCCTCTTCTCGGTTTGTGCAGGCATCATTGAAGACAGAACGGGAGAAGAAGAAGGAGCTTTACTTTCCACTAAGAAAGTATGCCATCAAAGTTTAAGTTAGAATTGATTACTTGTATTGAAATTTTAAGGTGTTGATGCTTGCCACTGAGGCTGCATTCCAATTTTTAGTACCTGAGTTGTTTTGATGTCTGCCTTCATAGTTTCCAGGGTATTTGTTAAAACTATAGTTGCTTCGAGAAATTATGGTTGTTTTTGGCCTTTTGTTTTATGGAGTATCACTGGATGAATGATCAATGTGAAATCTTCATTTCTCTTACAATTATCATAAGCATTTAATTTAGTCCTTATGTTTAGTGAATGCTTAGTGGCTTTTAGTTCTTGTATCATTCTTAATATGGTTTAGGCTGAAATAGGATTTTAGTCCTTGCGTAGTTTTTTATTTCGATCTCTATTGAATTTTTCATCTGTTTTTGCCCCTTTAAAATTGAAAATTACCAACTTTTGAGCTTTAGTACTGTGACACCAATAAAAAAATTGTGTTGAATAAAATGTTAAATGATAATTCCCACTGATTCATACTAGTGCTGTAGTATAATGTGTGCTTTTGTAATCACAAACATTTAAAGTATGTAAAACAAAAGTCATTCATATATCTTAACATGAATATTGACTACTAAAAGTAGTGAATTAAAATATCAAGGGATAAAAATTAGAGAAAAATAGTGACTTTTGAAGGAATGAAAAACAAAGAAAAATTAAAGTAAATTAAAATCTTAATTAATTAATTTTACGAGAATTAAAACACTACATTTTTTTAGTTTCTGTGAATTTTTTAATTAAATTTGTATCTGTGAAAACTGGCAGTTTGAACCATAATGTCATGTATTGATTAAGCTCCGTTACGCATTTGTATATTTGTATATGCCATTTTAAATTTGAGTCTAAACCTGTGATGTATCCGTATGTTTATTCTTAAACATGTGAATGGAGAATGTGCTATGCCAGTAGGAATCAAATTAAGAATATAAAGTGTGAACTGATCGAATTAAGAATCTGGAAGTAGATAACTAGGAAGAGATAGAATTGGCATTTTACGGAGAAGGAAACTGAATTATATGTTCTGTATTAGCATTATTACTACCATATATACTCAATGAATGTTCACTACATAGTTCTAATTGAATTTAGGAAAAATGATGGTCGGATTCCGGTAATTCTTTCTTCTTTGGGTAGATAATTATTGTTTTATTATCCGTAATCATACATTTGCATACACGCAATTTCCTACATTCGTCAAAAACTAGTTCTCACCCTTTTTATTGATATTGTTTTCTGCACACTTTGTTTGAAATTATATAATAGCATTTTTTTTTCTCATCAAATCAATTGCTGAGTAAATTATATTTCTCTTCAAGAAAGTATGACTAAACTGCCTGCTAGTCCTGCAAACAAATTGAATTATCTTCCTTCCATGTAGTAAATATATAACTTTTTCTTTTTAATTAAGTCCCTTAACTTTAGAATTCATACGATTTTTCTGGTATACTAACCTGAAAAATGAAATTCTGACTGTTTCTTCCTATACTTTCCTTTTTTTTTTCCTCCCGCATCCCCACAACATCCATAAACTCAAAATTACCTCTGATTACAAGTATAATCTACAATCTGAATTGTTTTCAATTACACAATTTAAATATGTTACACAACTCAAAAACAAATGCTAAATTGGAATTTTGGACAAAATTCAGTTGATAATTTATTAGATATTTTACAAAATAATAAATTTAATTATATCTAAAAATATCAATATAAAATATTTATCAAATATTTTTAAAATTGATTAATTTTTTAATTATTTAAGAGATATTGCAATATTAGATAAGAGATTTTATCAACAGAAAAATCAAAATTTACGTCCAATAAAATTCTATGTAAAGAGATATTGGAGAAGTGGGATGAAGCATTAGCTACTCTGGTTTTACGTAGTTATATCTACCATATCTCTTATAGTCTTTCTACCTTTCTTACTTTTTCTTTCATGCATTATCTATTTCATTCCATCCAAGGAGGGTTAAGTTTTTAGGGATGGTTTAAGGTTAAATTAAAATAATGTCTTTGTTTTTTTTATTATTGTTTTGAGTTTTCATATATATATATATATATATATATATATATATATATAAAGGTTTTCTCGAAGATAAAAAAATAGAAGTATACATTGAAAAAATATGAAAATTGCTAAAAAGTAAGAAAAAAAATATTTATTGCGACACATTTTGAAACGTCGCCATTGAGTTTTCATATATTGCCTTATTACAAACGAGAAAGTTTAGTACTCGAAATGTCATAAGAAGAAATATACATTCTCTTACGTTTTAGTTGATTATTTTATTTTTTAGTTTTAGTTGATTTTTTTTAACAGGTACTTGATGTTTTAAGAAAACTGGGCTATTTTTTTTATGAATTACAATTCTTTTGGAGAGATAATCACGATCATATTTATGAATTACAATTCATTATATAACAGTGAATTATATAGCAAAATCTTACCAACCAAGTAACTATAAATAATATATCGCTTTCATATTTAAAATTTCGTAAATTAAAATTATGGTCGCATTTAACTTTTAATTTGTGAATTTTTCTTTCAATTAATTTTTTAATTTTATTTTTATATCTTTCAAAATTTCTAACATACTGTTATCCCAATGCACACACTAATAACCTTTCTTACTAATCATATTGAATGCTAACACTTATTTCAGATATAGACAATTCACCACAGACTTAATCATATATACAAACTCTCAAGTTTTGTTTAAAGTATAGTTGTGGTTAGGATAACAACAGGGCATGTGTACTCGCAACCTAATTCGACAAAAAAAATATACCCACTATTCGATTCGCTACACGCATGGATACCTGCTTAAAAGATATCCGTCAATATTTTAAAACCCACATATATTGGTCGATACCTGCAATTATTTAAAAATATATATATTTTTATAAATTATTAAAATAAAATTTAAATAAAATTATAAAAAAAATATAAAATATAATATAAATTAAATTAAATATAAATTATAATTTAATTTTAATTAAATTTAACCTTATAAAATATAAATTAATGTTAATTTTAATTAAATTTAATTTAATGAAATATAGATTAACAATTAAATTAAAACTGTAGATTATTTTAAAATGTAAGAAGGAAATTTAAAAAGAAACAAAGTTGTAGATAAATTTTTTAAATAAAATTGTAAGACAGACTATTTTTCTTACGGAAATATTAACACAAAATTTAACGTATTATTACTTTATTTTATTAACTTTTCTCGCTTCTTTTCACGGTTTGAAAAAGTCATTTGGTATATGAGAAGACTTTCTTCCACGAAAGTACCAGAAGAAAAATCAATAAATAAAGCGCGTTGACAAGTCAATACTAAATAAAATAAAAAGTAGTTTATTTATGGGAAGAAAGAGGATCAAAACAATCTTGCAACTTCACTTGGCTGTTCTTCTCTCCTTCCCAAATGACTCCCAAGAAGAGCCTTTTGGACTTCATTTCTGAAGTTAAGCTCATCGTCAAACCACATTCTCGTCACTTCCACATTCTCAATCTCATCTTCCTCTTCCCCCTCTCCCTCTTCCTCCTCCTCTCTCCCACTATCTCTAACCTTTTTCACTTCTTCTTCACCAAAAACTCTCCCAGCCTTCTTCCACCACAAACCATCAACCCCTCATTTCTCCTCTATTCTCTCTTTCTTTTGCTTCTCTCCAACTGTGGAATCATCACCATCATCTATAGCATTTTCCACTTCTCCCATCACGAACCCGTGAATCTCCTATCCGCCATAAAGTCCATTTCCACTTCCTTCCTACCCCTCCTCGCCACCACCATCGTTTCCCAACTCATCTTCTTCTTCATCTCTTTTTTCTACGGTCTTCTCTTGATTCTTCTCATTCACGGGGCCAAGCTTTTCCATCTAACGCTTCTTCCACACTCCTCACCCTTCATCATAGGATTCTTAATTGTTCTTCCTATAATAGTCGTGCAGACGCGTTTGGAAGTTAACTGGATCCTAGCGAGTGTTATTGTGGTGGTGGAATCATGTTGGGGTATGGAGCCCCTCAGAAGAAGTGCGAAATTGATTAAGGGAATGAAAGGAGTGGCCCTATCTTGTATCCTCTCCTATGGATTCGTGGGGTTGATCGTGATGTTGAATTACCTTTCTTTGACGAGGAGACATGATGGATTTACAGAGTGTTGGTTTGATGCGGTGTTGAAATGGATGCTGATTCTGACAGGTTCTTATACCCACGCTTTTGTTATGCTTTTTAAGATTGCTGTTACTACAGTGTTGTACATATACTGCAAGGCAAATAACGTTGAGATAACAGAGGAGGTTGGAAAGGACTATGTTAGCTTGCCCTTCCATGATGATGGGAAAGTCTCGCTGGTTGTTTGAGCTATGTGTGTGCTGTTAAAGTGGAAAATTTTTATTGTGAAATCTCTCTGTAATGGATGCGAGTGGGGATGAGGTTTTCACTTAGGCGTGTAGAAATTTATTTTGTTCATAAAGTTTCACAGGATCAAATTTTATCTTTTTGTATAAAAATTATTTAGGAAAAAATAAATAAACTATTATGGAAAGGGGACTGGATGGGGGAGTGTGTTTGAGTATGATCTCCAAGTAAAACTTGTGCTCGTTGTTGTTTTTACGCTGAATCATATGAAATTCTTGTTCCATAGTTTATCATCTATCACTGAGAGGCTATATTTAAATTTCTGGTCGGATTCATTTTTCTATTATTTTAAATATCAATTAAAATATCTTTTATAAAATATAAAAATTACAACAACAAAAAACTATTATCAAATAATTTAAATATAGAAAATGATAATTTTTTTTCTCCAATATGAAATATAAAAAACTATAATTTTATGAATGTTAAATAAAATCCTTATGTAATATAAAAAATCTATATATAAAAGTATTTTATCTATGAGTTATCTACGGATAAAAATCCATATATAAAATTATTACTAAAAACATTGCCTACAAATTTATATTCATAACTAATATACGAATAAATCTTTATGTAAAATTTATAAATAATTACATACAAATTTATTAAATTTATTTATATATAATAATATATAAATAAATCCATCCATTATGAATAATTTGTTGGCTAAACTTTTTCTTATTTTTCAAATATTTTTTTTGTTTAAGATATCTTCATAATGAAATAAAGGTAAAGATCACATTTATGATTCAAAATTATCACAGTTCATTATCTTCACATTTTA